AGGGTACTGGAGGCACACAAAGTGCCGTATTTAAACGACGCAGCTGCCCCACAACCACATACCTGTACTAATTAATGGCTCTCACGTTTTTCGTTGCGGACCATACTTGCTGCAATTCATTAATTGCCTTAATTTAATTATCTCGGCCTGCAAATGACTCGATGCTGTGACCTGCAGTCAGTTATTCACCCACGTCTTCTCCTTTTGCCCTCGAAAGAGCGCTTCGATACCTGCTTTGAGGTATAGCGAATTCTCCCTTTAGACTTCGAATTGCTGCTCTTTTGACTATCGTCTGTTCATTTGGTACCTTCATTTATCCATAGATTGTTTCGAGTACTTTTTGGGATTTGGAGACCTTATTGAGGCCGATCCGTTCAACGGTTTTTGCTGGCCCAAGCAGACATCAATTTAGACGCCGTCTGCGGTTGTGCGGACGTTTTACAGTCAATTTCCTCTTGCCTATTCTTTTTGTACAGAATACACTCTTCTTACTACTCTGGCCTTCCCGTGACTTCTCTCCTCTTCTAAGGAATCGGGCCTGGAGATCGCAGTTTTTAGGGTTTTACTGACTTAACCCCCACCACCAACGTCTACCATGTTTGGCATTTTCTATGGGAACGCAACCCGAGTAAAGTCTGTCAGGCCCTGATCTTGTTCTCCATGCTGATCCAGACGGCTCATTGAAAGGGAGAGGGCGGTATTGATAGCATATACAGACCAAGGGTCAGAAACATAGTCCTGCTGAAAGTCTTGAAAAGGCTTCCCTTGCAAATTAAGGTATTTAGCACAAGGATATCACTTGTGTTCGTTTTGGCTTACCTTAGCTTTTCGAACTTTGTCGGCCCAATCCTTCAACGGGCCGACGTCGGCGAAGATTTTATAGACCTCCTTGGTTAAGTTCAAATCGGATTTTTCAACAATACTCCAGGAACCATCTGTAGAGAGCGAGAGAGAGAGAGAGAGAAATAGAAGTCATTATTGAAATTTTAAATGAGATAGCAATTGAAGGCTTTCTAAAACAACATTTTTTTTCAGGACAATAAGACTCCTCAGGTTCACAGGGTAAGTATTCATGTAGGTTAAATGGATGCTGACTGCAATAGCAATAACACAATTTAGCCCTATGCTCACATCTGAGGCGTATGCTAAAAATGGTCAAAATAGAAGGAGATACCGCAATGGTGTGTTTAACTTAATTTTGTGACTTATCAATGAATAGCAATGTACTTCAATGCGGACTGC